CTAATCTAAACGAACTTAACGATTTTTGTACGATCACGTGATCGAAAAAAAATTGGTGGCGATGCTGGGGAAGATAGTTAACAGTTAATGTTCACGTGCAGATCTACAAAATTTGGCCAATCGGTCAAATTTCTAAACCGCGTAACAAAAAATTTTTCTCGCTATATTACTACCCTTTCTAGGGAAACTTTTTTTTTGTAAAGCAATCATCATCGCTACTAATAGCTTGATCAAAAACTCCTAATTTACTCATTAAATCTATAATAATAGAAAGTCTCATTAAAGATATAAATTTTAATAATGATAAATAACAAAATGAACGTACCTTCACTATGCTGGGGGTCTACTTTATTTCTTTTTACATCCTGAATGAATTCATCCATAAAGTCTACACTGCGTTTATGGCTATGTTTAACAAAATAATGGAAGATTGAAATTGTAATCTGGAGTTGGACCAAAGTTTGCATGATCAACACTAAGAATATCTTGTCCAAGATAACTGCTGATATTTATAGACTAAATAATTAATAATAATTAATATATAGTTTGTTACATAAATTAATACTGTAATATAAGATGCATGCAAAGAACTAAAATCTCACCCAAGTCGGAAGTTTCACTTCCAGTGAGGGAAAGATTTGTTGCGGAGAAGTATAAGAATTTGAAGAATAAGTAGTAAGAAATTCTGAGCGATATTGACCGTTTAAAATGTGAAAAATTAAATTCGAATTTGGACGATTCTTAGGCTCATTATCTCAACTAAATTTTTTTTTGTTTTTTTTTTTTTATGTTTTTTTTATGTTTTTTTTTTTATGTTTTTTTTTTTTTTTTTATTGTGGGAGTGGGAATTCGTTAAAAGCTTGCCGCATGCCCGATATGAATGCTTCAGTTGCAGAAAGTCGCGCACTTAAATTATGATTATCCAGGTTTATTCTCTCTATTTCCGCCTGCAAATCCAATATTCTTTGATTCTTTTGTTCAAGCTGAATTGAGAGTGCTAAATTATTTTGAAACTTATTTAGTACAAATAATTTAATTAAGAAAATCACCCTTCGGATTTTCCGATCGGGCTAATTCGGAAAAGTTTAGACCAGAATGTTGGTTCTTATTCATATGTAAAACATCTTTTACTTTACTGATTCAACAGTTTATTTAATAAACTATCAAATAAGTAAAGCAAAAGATGATTTACATATGAATAAGAACTGGCATTCTGGTCTAACTTTTCCGAATTAACCCGATTGGAAAATCCCGAAGGGTGATTTTCCTAGCAAAGATCCCATATTAAATTTTATACTTCTAATATCGCTTTCTCTCCTTGCCTCGTGGTAAGAAAGCTTAAGATTGATCAATTTATATTAATAAAGAAATAAATAAATATAAATAATTTAATAAATAAATAAAAACCTGCGATTGTATGGAATTAATAGCGTTATCTAATATATTTATTATGTTGGGATCGGCACGTGCAAGTCGTGGGCCAGCTTCATCGGGTACTATAAGTTATAAAAAAATTTAATTAACCAGATGAGTATTTATTGCCACATTAAGTACCGAATCTTAAAGACTATACTATTATTTACCATTTACATTGGGTTCCATCTAATACGTATAATAATAAAATAATAACTGTAAGTATCAAACTTCAGGAAGACGTAATGTAACACTCTTTCTCGAGAGTAAGTAGACCTTTCATCAAAGAGTTTCTTTGCGCAAACGCCAACGCAAAGACCCTTTACAAAGGACAACCTAAGGGTCTATTAAATGAAAAAACATAATTACCGTTATCGTTCGTCGTCTTTGTAACCTAAGTCTAATTTTCATAATAAATTTTTAAAATTTTTTATTTTTATATATATTCGAATTAATCGTTGTGTAAAATTTGAACACACGTGCGGATTAAGGGCACGGTGACCCAGGGCATGCAACAAAAATTTGGGCATTCTTACAGAGCCAGTGGATTTTAATAGTAGCAAAAATAGCATTAGCAATATCACGACAACCACATAAACAAATCTGACCGAA